CTCTCTCTCTCTCTCTCTCTCTCTCAAAAAAAAAAAAAAGAAACATAATGTTAAGTTGAACTTTATGACATTTCTATCGCCATTTTTGTAAGTTAATTTCATATGGTTCAACCTAATATATTGGTGAAAAGAGTCCGAGGCAAACTTGGATTCAAATCCCAGCTTCAGTATGCATGATTCAGTATACAACATCTCAGTTGTGTAACCCTGGACAAATGTACTTACCCTCTCTCTGAGCCACAGTAGTCTCATCTGTAAAATGGGCATAAACATAGTCTGTAACTCAGCATTATGGCTAAAACTAAATGGAATAATGCAAGTAAGGGGTCTGGCACACTGCAATCCCAGAATAAATGGTGGCCATAATTGTGGGTGGTGGTTTTTTCTTTCTTTACTGTATTTTTCAAATTTCCTATAATATAGTTTTTTTTTTATTCTAAAGCTAATAAACATAATTATTTAATTTTTTTGGTTTGTTTTTGTTTTTTGAGATGGAGTCTTGCTCTGTCACCTAGGTTGGAGTGCAGTGGCACAATCTCGGTTCACTGCCACCTCTACCTCCTGGGTTCAAGCAATTCTCCTGCCTCAGCCTCCGAAGTAGCTAGGATTACAGGCACCCACCACCATGCCTGGCTGATATTTGTATTTTTAGTAGAGATGGAGTTTCACTATGTTGGCCATGCTGGTCTTGAACTCCTAACCTGAGGTGATTTGCCCACCTCAGCTTCCCAAAGTGCTGGGATTACAGGCGTGAACCACCATGCCCAGGCAATTATTTAATTTTCAAAGGAATTGTGCTCTATTCCCTGAAGATCTTGAGTGGGGATCTTGAGGCTGTTCCTGGGAATGTGATTGAGGGCTTTTTTCCAGCCCTGCTGTGGCTTGGCTTGGCTGGACAAAGACAGTGACCTGAGAACAGGGCTAGAAGCTTCTGCTTGGTGGGACCCTGGGAGGTTTATTTACAAAGGACACTCTGTCCCACGGCCCAAACTGCTCCCTCACTCCAGCATCTGCTGTATTGATTGAACCCTTCAGAGAGGCTGCTTTGACCCATCCTGTCCCTCAAACCCTGGGTCACAGTGCTCAGTGTCCGCCTTGGTCATGACAGCCTTTGGCATGGTCCTCTTTACTTAGAAGCAGCTTCTGGGTCCTGAGCACAGAAGCTGAGCTCAATTTTCATAATGTCCAGTACCCAGGATTGGGCTACAGAGTTTTGTTTTGTTTTGTTTTTGCGACAGTCTTGCTTTGTCGCGCAGGCTGGAGTGCAATGGTGCGATTGTGGCTCACTGCAACCTCTGCCTCCTGGACTCAAGCGATTGTTCCACCTCAGCCTTCTGAGTAGCTGGGAGTACAGGCATGCGCCACCACAGCCAGCTAATTTTGGTAATTTTTGTAGAGACAGGGTTTCACCGTGTTGCCCAGACTGGGACTACAGTTTCTGTTTAGGATGATGCAAAAGTTTTGGAAATAAATAGTGGAGGAAATATAGGGTACAAACTTTCAGTTGTAAGAATTCTGGGGATCGGCTGGGCGCGGTGGCTCAAGCCTGTAATCCCAGCACTTTGGGAGGCCGGGACGGGCGGATCACGAGGTCAGGAGATCGAGACCATCCTGGCTAACCGGGTGAAACCGCGTCTCTACTAAAAGTACAAAAAAACTAGCCGGGCATGGTGGCGGGCACCTGCAGTCCCAGCTACTCGGGAGGCTGAGGCAGGAGAATGGCGTAAACCCGGGAGGCGGAGCTTGCAGTGAGCTGAGATCTGGCCACTGTACTCCAGCCTGGGCCACAGAGCGAGACTCCGTCTCAAAAAAAAAAAAAAAAAAGAATTCTGGGGATCTAAGGTGCAGTATGGATGGTGACGGATGTGTTCATTAATGCGATTGTGGGAATCATTGCACAATGTGCACATATGTCAAATCATGTACACATTGAATATATACAATCTTTTCTTTGTGAATTAAATATCTGTTAAAATAGTGGGGATAATTGCACAACATTGTGAATGTAATTGAATGCAATCGATGACATAGTATGTATACTTAGAAATGATGAAGATGGGTGGGGCATGGTGGCTCATGCCTGTAATCCCAAAGCTTCGGGAGACTGAGGTTGGAGGATTGTTTGAAGCCAGAAGTTGGAATCCAGCTTGGGCAACAAAGCAAGCCTCTATCTCTGTGAAAATAGAAAAATAAAAATTAGCCAGGTTTGGTGGTACGCTCCCATAGTCCCAGCTACTCAGGAGGCTGAAGCAGGAGGATCACTTGAGCCCAGGCATTCAAGGCTGCAGTGAGCTCTGATTGCACCACTGCACTCAAGTCTGAGTGACAAAGTGACACCCTTGTCCCTAAAGAAAAAAATGGTTAAAATGGCAACTTTTGTGTTAAGATTTTTTCACAATGTTTTAATTTATATTTTTCTTTCTTTTTTCTTTTCTTTCTTTCTTTCTTTCTTTTTATTTTTTTTTGGAGCAATCTTATTAACTGAACCACAATTTAAGTAAAAAAAGAAGAAAAAAAAAGTCCAGAATGCACTAAAAGGAGGTTTCATGAAATCACCTGGGGCTGACTGAGCCACAGTAGGAGATCTGGATTTAGGCCCTGTTCCGCTTCTTATTTGGCTCCATGACCTTGGGTAACTTAACTCTTCTGAGGCTCAGCTTTCTCTTCTACAAAGTGGCCTGATATGATGCTGCCCTCTGAGGGTATCATGAAGCTCAAATATGATCAAAATGTGTGAAACTCTTTTGTAAAAAAAAAAAAAAAAAAAAAAACTCAGTAATTGGTCATTAGCATTGTCCTACCACCACCATCAAAGAGGAAAAAAAAAAAAGGGGAAAAAAAAAGAAAAAAAGGAAAAAAAAAAAAGAAAAGAAAGAAAGGAAAAGAAAAGAAAGCTTTATAAACAAACTACCAGAGTACATTGTGTTGCTCTGAGGATGCCTGAAATGCCACATTAAGGCTGTTCGATGGGAACCTCCAGAAATAAGGAAAGGAAGAGGAGAAACTAAAGGAATCTCTCAATCTCTGGCTCCTCACCATGAATGAGATATTATATTTTCTCTTGGATTAGCTATTTTTTTCTTTTTTTTTTTTAATGTCTAAAATTCAACCAGAGCCTACTTAGAACTGGGTTGGCTTTTGTGGGACCTGCAGGGAGGTGGCAGTGAGACTTAAGGTGTCAGAGGAGCACAGACTGGGGAAGGCTGGGGTGCCGAGGAAGCACCCCCAGCATCACAATTTTGCCCCAGTGTTGGGCAGAGGAGAAATGTCCTTAGCTTGTCTCCTCTTCCCCCTCTCTCCCTCTTTCCTCTGCCTTCATACCTTAAGTTGCCTTTCCCATCTTTCTCCTGGGAGTTTTATTTCTGTCCCTTTTTTCATCTAAAGCAACGGAAATGAATCATCTTTCAGCCTGTTTAATAAACAGCTCCATGCCCCCTGACCCCAGATGACTCTCTCACTGGTTCCTCTGTGGCTGCTCCTGGGCTAGGCCTCACCCCCTCACAGGCAAGGCCCCCTCATGGCTGGCTATTCTTGGTAATGTTCTCCACCCTCCCTTCCCACTCAGTCCTGGCAGCTTGACCTCCTCCACCCCAGGGATGACGGGAATCACACACAGCATTCCAAGTGACAACTGCACGAGCTGCCCATAGGGGCAGGGGAAGCAAGGAGGCCACCATGTTTGGAGGGTTTCTTTGTGCCATCTCAATGACCCTATTAGTGGATCTTACAGTCTTCATTTTACAGTTGAGGGTTCGGAGGCTCAGAGAAGTGAAGGAACTTGCCCAGAGACGAACAGTTGGGAAATGTGGAAATGAAGGAGTCGATGTTTAAAGCCTGAATTTCTGGATTCCTGAATTCATTCCATTACACCATACTGCTGTGCGTGTGTGTGCACGTGTGTGCTTGTGCCCGCATGTATGTTGAATGGGAGTGTGGGCAGGTCAGCTAGAACATCAGCTGCAATTCACCAGGATGGAAACCTGATTTTATGCTGAAGGTTAACACCTGTCTATCAGATGCATAATATACAGATGCATTAAGCCATATGCCTATGATAGACAGGTATTAACCTACAGAGGAGATGGCAAGTATGTGCAGTATGTATTTCACCAGGAGGCCCATGAGTCACTGAAGATGATGTCAAGGATTAACAAAGATGGGGGAGAGGGAAAGAGGATTAATGAAATGCTGGAATTTAAGACCACCTATACCCTGCCTTAGCCTCACCGTGATGGAACTTCACAGGTTAAAGTGCCTGGCTGTGTCCACCTTGGTGAAACCACACTTTTCTGGTGAACAAAATCATGCGACTATTAGTTGGACTTCTAAAAATGTGCAGGTCTCATTTATAGGAGCTATATGGAATACAGACATAAAACTGCGGACGTCAAACTCCCTGGTGTAGGCATGTGTATGTGTCTGGGTTCAGAGAGTGGAATTAACACAAGTATATAAATAACCGTGATGCAAGGTAGATAGAAAGTGCTCAGAGCCAAAAGAAATTGACATATACTACAACAGTATTCTTGGAGGCCCAGAGGCTAGAGAGATTACTCCAGGCTGGGTATCACAGAGGGCTTCCTGAGGAGGTTGCATTTGCATATAAATACGTCTCCAAATAGATGTAAGATCTTATATTAACAGAACGTTTTAACAGAAGTTAGATTCTGGTTTCCAAGAAGCGCTGAGATGCAGACATATGCCCTTGTTCCTCTTTCCTAGACGTGGAAACTGAGACCCAGAGAGGTTGAATAGGTTGTGCACAGTCTCGCAGCTACCAAGTGACAAGCCACGATTTGATCTCGGGCCAGTGTGTTAGACTCCAAGTTGCGTGCTCCTGTCCCTCACCGCGCGTCGGCGGAGCTCGGGGCCGGACTGGACCCGCCGAGGGAGGGG